GGACACAGACCAGGACATGTACCAGACCTGGACCTGGATCCAGACCAGGACAGAGACCAGGACACAGACCAGGATATGTACCAGACCTGGACCTGAATCCAGACCATGGCACAGACCAGGACACAGACCAGCTCTGACAGTGTGGCCGTGTTTCCGGATGGATTCATACCTGAGTTTGTCGATCTCTCTCTCCAAACAGTCGATCTGCTCTCGGAGCTGCTGCCTGTCTGTCTCCCCTGCTGACGACAACTTCTGAGTCAGGTAGTCCACCCTGATAGAGAGACAGGTGATACATAGAGACAGGTGGGACAGAGAGAAGACATGTCAGCTGTGATCAGGCTTCAGATAAGACATCAGAAGGACGCGGCAGACGGAGTTGTCCTTAACAGTGAGACGTTACCTGGACAGTTTGGGCTGGACAAGTCTCCGTAGACTGTCTCTGGACACAGAGTGGATCAGAAGAGTCTTCTGCCAGCTCTCCCCTGAAGACACAGTAAGGACATGAAGACACAGTGATGAGACCGTGAGGACAAGAAGACATAGCTAGGACATGAAGAGAGTTAAAACAGACTGAGGACATGAAGACACAGTGATGAGACTGTGAGGACACAGTGATAACATAGAGGACATTAAAATATTTGTCTTCTCACATCGTTTTATCTTCACTTTATTTTCATCAAGACATCCTGTCATCCTGCTGCTCTTCTCCTTCGTCTCCTGATTGGCTGGAGGACCCTGGACACAGACAACAAGGAAACCTCATTGGTCAGCTGTTAAAAGTCTGTCTGCTCTGTACCTGTCTCACTCTAACTGTCTGTCCATCTCTCTGTCTGTCTCTCAGGTCTTACCAGTCCGGTCTGTTTGTCTTTGAAGTACGGTTTCAGGAAGCGACCCAGGTACATGTTGATTGGCAGCTGGTAGGAGGAGAGGGCGGGCTGTTCTCTGGAAGGCTCTTTGATTGGTCCAGACAACTGAGACATCAGCTCCCTCTACAGACAGAAAACATGTTAGCAGTACTGACACGGTTGTGTGTCAGTACTGACCTGTTGTCTGTTGTTGTGGGTCAGTACTGACCTGTTGTCTGTTGTTGTG